GTTAAAGATATTAGTGGAGGAAGTCACTACAGATGTGCTGGAAATAGCAGGAAAACAGAATTAGGAGCAGAGCCTGAAGATGTGACTGAATAACTATAATCTCATGATGAAACTTACATGGTTGAGGATTTGCTTATGGACAAGCAAAGAAAGTGCTTTCTTGCAATGGCATCTTCTTCTGGTGAAGATACTGTGAATGTTGTTTAAATGTCAGCAAAGGAGTGAGAATATTACATAAACTCAGTTGATAAAGCAAACCTCAGGGTTTAAGAGGATTGACTAATTTTGGAAGAAGTTCTGCTTGGGTAAAATGCTATCAAACAGCATTGAGTCTTACAGAGCAATGGTTCGTCATTGTGACAAACTTCACAGTTGTCTTACTTAAAGAAATTGTTACTCATCCCAACTTTCAGATAAACCACTCTGATTAGTCAGTAGCCATCATCATCAAGGCAACACCCTCCACCAACAAAAAGATCGTGAACCTCTGAAGGCTCAGATGACCATTAGTATTTAGATGTGTACATTGTTTTCAGGTGTAAAGGCATTGCACACTTAACAGACCACAGTATTACTAGTGTAAATAATGTGGGTATGCACTGGGAGACTAAAACATCATTGTGACTCTGTTTATTGCAGTGGTCTGGAACAAAACCTGTGGTATCTTCAAAGTATGCCTGTATTTTTTTATTGTTAAAAATAATTCAGAAAAATGAGTGTATTTTTTTAAACTTTAGAAATGCTAAAATATCAAAATGAAGGTAATGAAATTTGAGGTTTTCCCAAAACTTATTGAGCACAGTATCATCCATTTAAGAGTATTTTAAGAATCAGGTATTCCCAAGAATACATATTGTTAGATCCTATCCCATGAGATTGTTAGATGAATAATAAGCAGAGTGTGATAAGTGCCATTAAAAGTGGTTTTGAAGAAGAAATGATCACTTAAGGCTGGAGAGAATCAGATGTTTTTTGAGGAAGCCATTTGAGCAGATCATGAAGCATGAGAATAATTTTGGGAGGCAGGATTGGTACGTGGGAGCTTTTCAGGTGGGGGAAGAGTCCTGAACAAGAATACAGGGATGGGAAAGCACAAACTTTGTTCAAGGAATGAATAGCAAGTTTCTCTTACTAGATTGTAAAGGGATCTTCCCAAGGTAGGCTCAACCCAACATCCACTAGATGGCCACAGATCACACTTGGTCCCAGTCTACTCTGAAATGTAGAATAGGAAGGATGTAGGGCAGGTACCAATGGACTTCCTGCTTAAGAATCATAGTCATGGCAACTGTCCATGTAGCAGTCCACAAACTGTTTACATAGCTGTCCAGCAGCCATGATCTTTCCTCCTTTACCAAGTGGAAGCTCAGGTGTAAGGGAAGGAGACCCATACTGGGCAGCTAATGGAGTCTCCCAGGCATAGAAGCTCTATGTCTCAATGGTACCAGTAGCTTTTGTTACAACTCCATAGGCATAACTCCTGGTGCTCCTGAAGGGCACATGCTCAGTTCTAACAGCCACCATGCCCAGGTTTGAAGTATGGTTTATCCCATGTATTTATGTTTTCTATCCATCCAGATATAATTTACCAGAGATCATTTTAACCATGGTCAATGTTGCCTGTGTAACACAGTTGATATAATATGCTTATTAGATTTCCAAGGAACAGAACTCAAATGTTAGTCAAAGGTCAAATTCTTGTTCAGAAGCTGTGCCCTTTACATCCAGCTCTTAAATATTCAAGTAGTTATGGAGTAAATTATGTGGGATCTTGGATTCTAAAGTAAAGAATACAGATTTAAGAATCTTCCAGTTTTTCTGCTATCTTACCTTGAAAAAGCATATGAAAAGACTTTTTTGAGTGTAAAAATATGTAAATCTTATAACACTTGAATAAATTTTGGTGTGGTGTATCTTAGTAGAACTGAGAAGTTTAAATACATAAACACATGTGTAGCCATCTTCAACATGCCATTAATTTTCTGAAATAGAAAGGATTGTGCTCTCTGTTCATAGAAGGCTGGGTCTTGTATAACATATGTAAGAAATAGATGTCTGGTGCTTATAATGATAACCTTTTATTTGTTTTGTTCTGTAAAGGTTGTAGTATAAGTTCCAATATTCTAGTGAGATAAAGGCCACAAATTTCTGAAACATATTTCCAAATAAAAAAAGCCCAGAGGTTTCACTCCACAATTCTTTGAAGTAATGGCCTCTCAAAGGGCAGAAGGCAGTAGGTGGAAAAATTATTTTCTGTAGTGAATTTAACCCTCAAATATGAAAAGTTGTGACAGTTTGCATTCAACTTGCAGAAATAAACAGTTGGAATCTTCTGTAGCATAATCTATGCTTACTGGCTTTCTTGCCCTCTCAAGTTCCTACACAACCTACCCAACTGGCCTCTATTCCAGGTCTGGGAGGCTATGGGAAAGAATTATCTGCTCCCCATGATGAAGTAGCCAGTCTGACAAACTGACTTGTGTCAGTGTGTGAACAGTAGAGGAAGAGCTGATTTTCCTCTTTCCAGGTAACATGCTCAACCTAGGAATGTAGTTTGAAGACAATGCCCAAGCAACACTCTTCCCCACCCCATATGCACCCCACCCCACATGCACCTCGCCCCACATGCACCCCACATCAACTTGGATGCACCATTTGACTTCTATAATGTGTACAAGGCATAGCCCATGAGAGGTACAGCCCAAAGAAGGCATAGTTCAAACAGGCCAGCAGCATATTTCCTAGTGGGAACTCTTGTGTCCTCAAAAAATAGAGATATGGAGCTGCCTCCTCAGCTTCTATTTAGAACATAACAAAAAACTGTACTGCATTACTGATGTTTGAACTAATTGTGCTAAGCTTCCCTTACAGTGAGAAGAACTCACAGAATATAGTCTAAGATGCTTTCATGTCTTAAGATCTTTTCATGTTGAGGTTTGACAATAGAAGCACACATTCAGGAATCCAAGAAAATAAATTTATTAAACTTTGAAGGAGCAAATCCACAGACATAAAGAAAGTTAAATATAGACTGCAGGACACAACTAGTCATACTAGTGAATAATGGCTTGTGTGGCCAGCAAAGTACCAAAATGACATTCTGAGACTGATTGAGGTATTTAGCTATTTTTGGCTATAGAAATGTGGTCAGCCTATTGTGAAATAGTAATATAATTCTTCCAAAAACACAGCTTTAAGTTGAATTAGGCTCTACATTGATGATGTTTTATATGAAACTAAATTTTGTAGCTTTTAGAGAAAACCCTAAGCAGCAAGGTAGCAGAGAATCTATTAAACATCTATCACAAAGTAACATGTTGAACTTTAAACACCCAATTCTAGATTTTCACTGTCTTTTCTGTAAGAAAGAGGGAATTCTGTAAGAAAGAGGGAACTGCCAGCCATTAGCTTGCTTCCCCAAAAGGTCTTGAGCTAAATGGCAAATAGAATTAATTTTAAAGTTTAAAGTGTTTTTTAAAAAATACTTAAAAGTGAGACATATTCAGTGAGATGAGATTCTTCTCTTTCATAAACCTTTAGGGGAGCTATTCCAAAGGATAATGTTTAAGTTGATAAAGAATTGGAAAATAATTGATAAATTACTTAGGCTCCTTCATTTTCTTCTGACTACCTGGTTGGAGGCCAGTCCTCTCAAAGGGGAAATAAAAAATGATGAAACTTATTTTATAGTTTTAAGTAAATCCTATTAGGCTTGGTGAGAAAGCTTCTTCTATTGGTTTGATTAATTTTGAGTTCTCTTTTTGGCTTGCTTACCATCTGTCCCTTGTTACCACAAATAATAAATGTGTCCTCAGCTATAGACTATGAAACAAAAACCTATTTCTTAAGCTTTCTGTTCCATTGTTCAGTTAACTTCATTTGATCTGCTTCTTCTTACAAAATGCTGCTTATATTTTATTCCTCTTTTAGGTAACTATGAAATGAAACCAAGCTGTGTTTGAAAAGATACCATTGCAAGTTTTGGAGCTTATTTCTCATGATCTGTGTGCTAAAAAAATTCATACCACGTGCACTTCAGCACGTCAGCAGCCTGGCCCAGGGGAACCAGCTGTAACTTCTACTTGTCTTAGCATTAGCTCTCTGGCTTGCACTGAAATTTGGTGAAGAAGGGTTTTCTTTTCTTTTTTTTTCCTCCTTCCTGTTTTTTGGTTTATGGTGCATTGATCCATGTAAACATTTAAAAGTCTTCTAACTTAAAAATATTTGTTTAAAAATTCAGATAAGATGGGTATGTTCCAATAATGCAGGTTATTAGAGATCTTAGAATTACTTAAGAACTTTGGGGAAGTATAAAAAAGGGACTTGTAAAAAACTAGCTTGTCTGTTTTTCTTCAGGTGTATTGACTGAAGCATTAAACCAGCTTTAGACTGTAGTTACTACATTCCTTAGATGGGGTCATTGTGAACTACAGTACAGAGTGTGTAGTGTATTATAAAATAGCCATGCTTGAAGTTTAAATTATTAAAAATATCTTTATCAATTTTATGTCAAAATAAATGTTTTACATATCCAAACTACTTTTGCTTTCTTACCTAGATTTTTACTTCCCAATTATTAAAAAAAGAAAAAAAAATTAGCCTGTGCTATGATTTTCATTTGATTTCCTGAACTGCAAAAGCCACCTGATTGTTTTTGCTTTTTCAAAAAGCACAATTTACTATACATTAAAAATGTAGCCATCCGATGCTTAGTATCACAAAATTAACACCCACAATAATAAGACAATCACTGCTACTGAAGAGTCTTTTGAGACAATTCTTTAAAATATTTACAATTCACAACGGGGAATATCTCTCTGATTAAATGTTCTTGTTTTTTCCTTTTAATAACATTTCCACATTTCAGGAAAAGGCATTTGAATCCATACCCACCCTCACAGTCTCCCCCCAAATGTTTAAAGATTGTTTTGGTTTCAGCATTCATGCCCCAGCCAATTCTTGGCGATTCAGTATGTTATTCTTGGGAAATCAAAGTAAGGCTACGGCATGATTTTGTTCAGGTGGTCAGTGCTGACGTAGCCACAAGATGAGAGAAACTCTTTGTCCCGCAAGGGCAAGGCAGTCGCGTTGAGGACAAGGCCCTGTGGAGACTGTACTATATGAATAGAGGTATAGTCTGGGACGGGCAACTCAGAACCTGGGGCATGTTCTGCTGTCCCAGACCCCCCAGCAGTAGTGGTAAGGCTTTCTGTGGTGATGTAAATATCCTCCTGGTTAAAGCTTGGCTCTGCATGTGACTCGACCTCCACATGAGGGGCCACAGCGATGCACTTTTTGGCATCTGCCTCGCAGAAGTAGGCATTGTCCATGATGAAGTTCGCTTGGCAGAGTGAGGCCATCTCTAGATGCGTGTCGCCCTGGGCTATCCCAGCCTTATTCTTTTGGCCCGGGGAAAGGACCACACTCCCTGCTGGTGTAATGTCGCTCACCTGGGCATAAAAGTCCATGTTTGCCAGTGAATTCGGATTGCTTATCTGAGTAGGGGCAACTTGGTGAGTTGACTCAGTTTCACCAATGAGAAGTGGTTGTGGTTTGTCTTCTTCCTCTGCCAGGATGATGCTGGGTTGTTGAATGGCAGGGGAAGCATCATGATAAGGTGACTCATTTTGATTCTTATGGTCAAGGCACAAGAGATCGGCTTCCCCTTTTAACCTTTGTGGCTGAGCCACCTCTGAGGTACCATCACCTAAGTCATTGGCATTGAAATCAGTTTCCAGAATGTCAGGTTCACAACAACTGGTTCGTCCGGAGTCATCATCCTTGGCCCCAAGGACATTAAGTGATTTCTGATGGTCGTTGCTTAGAAGTCTGTCTGTGTCTGATCCTTCAGTCTTTTCATCAGGATCATCAATATCTAGTTCAATAAATTCAACCCAAGAGTCATCATTGTAGAATTCAGGTTTATAATTATCATGAATGGCTAAGATTGTGTTCACCTCCTCTAATTTTCCTTCCTATGAAGCAGAAAGAAAATGAAGATTTATGAAAAGAAACTCATAATGACGAAATCATTTAAATCCGATACACAGAGCTTGCAAAAAGCTCTCGACATGTGGCAATGTTCTTCAGGTATTAGTTAGTGCAATCACAATCTATAGTTTAGACGGATTTATTAATTACCTTGAAGAGGTCTGGATCAATTCCTTTAATCTTTGGAACTGGTACTGGGGGCAAAATCAGCATCTTAATCCTTGAAAACAAACAGAATTTTCATTTGACAGATCTTAAAAGTTACACATTTCTCTTATTTCAAAACAAATAAAATATTGGCAGAATATTACTTATTTCAAGTATTTTGATATTCTATATAAGTGGAAGCTGAGAAAGGGAAGAAAAATATAAAGCAGTAAATGATAAAGAAAAACTGCAAAAAGTGTAAGAAAGAAAAACAATAATAACAAAAAAGTCCTCTTCTGAAGTCTATTCAAATAAAATGTGGTTTTTCTATAATTTCATTTTCTTCTTAATGCTTTTTATGGCCATCCCACTTTAGCATTTGGGAGAGAGAAATTTAATTCTACCTGAAGCCAATTTCCATGTCTGTTACAAGGAAAGCAATTTTATTGTACATCTCCTCAGTAATTTGCAGGAAAAAAAAATGAGTAAAGGAAAAAGAACCAATCTATGTAGAGCCAGCCAACCAACATTATTTGTGCCCTTGAAAAAGGGTGATGTGAGACAAGGTAACACCACACAGTTGACATTAATCATAAAGTCATCTAAGATGATTTTTAACCAGACAGTTACTACAAGGGCCATTTCAGATAGAGTAGGCTAAATATGAACTAGCTCCAACTTTTGAGAATGGATTTTTTTTTTTTTTTTTTTTTACAGTTTGGACTTTGGTTATTTGATTCTTTTTAGTTATATATAACATTAGGATTCATTTTGACATAATCACAAAAGCATGGAATATAATTTGCTCTAATTCAGTCCCAAGCACACTTATCCCCTCCCCTCCTCCTCCCTCCCTCTACTCTACTGGTTGTTCTGCAATTTACTTATAGTTTTGTTGTTGTTGTTGTTGTTGTTGTTTTAATTAGTGTCTTGTGGAGGTACTTGATGTTGAGATTCACTTTGGGATATTCATGTATGTACATAACAAAAGCTCGGTCAGATTCATTCCATTGTTCTTTCCTTATCCCCTCCTTTCTCCCCTTTAATCCCCTTCATCTCCCCTACTGCTCTTTCTTCTGTTTTGATGGACTTACATACATACTACTGTAATTGTACTTCTATCTTCTGTTCCAAATATTTAAGTTATTTTTGACTCTGATTCATTTCCATGTCTGTCTTGCCTGTCTTGTGCCTTGCTGAATCCCTAGCACTTAGCACAATTCCTGGCACATGGAAATGCTCAACGAGCATTTGCCAAATAAATTGGAACAAACCATCTATTTTGTTGGCAGCGTAACTAGAGCTTGAATCTTAAAACCAACATTGTAGCTCTGGAAAGAAGCTCAGGGATTATTTATTTCAACCAACTTGTTTTATAGTTAAAACAAAACAAAACAAAACAAATCCACCTCCTATGTAGTGAGAAATGCCATTGTTAGGCAGGGACAGTAACCTGGAGTTTGGATATCAGTTGCTAGTCCACTGAGTGTGAATGGACTATGCAGTCTATTCAATAAGGAACACTTCCTTTCAATATTTCCACCTGCCATTTTATCTAATCTAAAGAATAAACCAAATTCCACTGTATAAGTTGCTTTGTGATTTCTCCACTATGCTTACTTAGTGGAGTAAATGTTAAAACAAATTATTACTGATGAATAGCAGATATAGAAATGAATAACATGAATTACTAATAATAATTTCTCTCATTTTGAGCTTCTCTGATAAACTAGACAGTGTGAGATATACTTTGCATTAGAGTTTAGTACAAATTATAGACTTTGGGCCAAATTTGAACTACCACTTGATTTTGTAGAACACAGCCACATTCATTCAGTTACATATTGTCTCTGGCTGTTGTCATGCTACAGAGGTGGAAATGAGTTGTTGTGACAACAAAGACATATGGCACCTGAAGCCTAAAATTTTACTAATTCTCTTTAAAACAATTGTTTGATCATGAACTAAACATTTTATTTAAACCTTATAACTATCAGGGAGGTCAATGATAGTATTCATACAAAGATTTGAAAAATTAAGGAACAGTCTCAAATCATGCACTAACACTAGGGCACAATTGAGGTTCAAACCCAAGTTACCTGACTCCAAACTGAGGCTCTTTTGCCTTCTGTCACACTGCTGCATTATTAAATTTGGCATTTCTAAATGCACATTTCAAATTTTTACAAACATTAAAAAATGCAACATATCCCTAATTACAGGAAGCAGAGAATCCCAAATGGCTAATGTTGATTTTGTGAGGTGAGCCTCTCTTTATGAAGAGCATGATGTGTTTCTACTTGTGTTAGTTGTATTCTATGGGTGTGGCCACTTTCTGACACAGTGGCTGGCCCTGAAATCTCAAGGGCCCAAGTTGGTCATGTCATTAAATGAAGCAGGCCAGTCACAATGCTGTGAGAAGAAAAGATGCTTGCGGCAAACTGGAGAGTGTATGCCCTTCCTAAAGGGCACAGCTTCCATATATGTGCCATGTAGAAAGATCAGCTTAGTTCCACTACATCTGTCAAGTTTTAAAGACAATCCAGAAATCTGGAGTTTTTGGTGTGAAAATTCTCTATTTTGTATCTGCTTTGTAGTAGAATCCTACTCTAAATAAATAAATACATACATACATACATACATACATACATACATACATACATAAAATGAGGATCTGCAGCTTGAACTTGGCTTTCACTTTCCTACTTCTGTTTTATGCTGATTTAATTATTTATTCCTTTAATTAATAATAGCTTCAAGGCTGGGTGGGTCATATGGTAGAAGCTAGTACAGAGTAAAGATAACCTGGCTTTAAACTATGTTTGTGAGGGTGCTATCATTTATTCAAGTATGAATCACATTATAATTTTTTTGTAGAATCGACAATTTTCTGGATTAAAGTAGCTTCAATAATGAATTAGGATGCACAAATCTTTAAAGACATGTGGGACCTGAAAAACTCTGTAGCCTGGAGTTCTAGGAAAGACTGACTTCAGCACCTCATTCTGTGGAGCATCTTATTAATTGTTGGGAATATGTGTTATTTCCACATCTGCTGACAACTATTTTGTACAAATTTCCTACTTGCATTAGAACATGTAAATTTAGAAAATGATAAATGTTTCAATGGAAAAGAAAAAAATTGATTTTTTTATGTAAAGAATTCAATTTAGATAGGAAATTGGTAGTACAATAAAGACTCCATATCTATTTTACAATTTGGTGATTTTGAACAAGTGTCATAGATTAATTCTTTGTTATTCACAGAAAATGCTTTTTTTAGTCAAAAGTTAATACAATTTCTTTGAAATCCTATTTGTTGAGAGGATTATTTTATTGTTCCAAATATTGTAGCTGATATAACTCAACAATATAACAAATTTTCTTGGCCTTCACAATGTTTTGAAATGGACTGCCAGTGTTAAAAACAAATTACTTTGCAAACATATAATTTATGACAGTCACATATAAATTATCCCACCAATTGTACAGACCAAGAAACTTACAGAATAATTTGATTCTTGTTTTTAGCATTACTTAAATGCATATATTACTTAAAATTCCAAAAATGTATTTATTTTCCCCATATTAACCCATGAGGCTTTTAAAATTCCTTAAATGGAAGAAACTAGCAATCTATAGCAATTGTTTTTTCTACATTTTGTACAAAATAATTTCCTATAGTGTGGACTGAATTTTTTAATTTTTTATTTATTTATTTTTCAGGAAGAAAAACAGAATGATAACATCTCACGGCTCAAGGCAAATTTAAAGAGCATATAAACCAGCACTCATATTACCTATGACACCGTGGAAGCCCAGAAAGGTTAAGGGAGTCAAACAGGATCAAACAGCAGTCACTGAGACACTGGAACCCAATCTTTTGGATCCCAGAAAATGCAAAATAGAATTGCTTCAAACTTAGTATTTCAGTTGTATTTGCAAATGCAGGTGAAATACAAAGTTATAACTATCCAAATCATTTAAACGAGACCCAGATTTACTTAAAATCACATCATATGAAGTCTTAAGGATGTTTTTATTAGATTACATTGTCTAGGTGGTTTTAGTTTGCCATTTCAGTTTGCCTATACTGAGGACTGTGTCAGCCTCAGCCAAAGGCTCCGTGATGATGCTCTGGAGTCCTGGAGTGAATGGGTCAACCCTTTAAGCACTGAGGGGGAAGAGGTGCCTATTACATGGTGTGTGGTATCATTAGTCTAAGCTCTTAATGTCCTACACAACTTCATAGATAGAGTCTAAACCTGTATTTTCTCAAAGATGAACCCAACAAATTGAGTTTTTAGAAATAGTAAACATATAACTGGACATAAAGGTATACTGTGTTAAATAAAATTTATACTCATGCAAGAGAAAATATCAAATAAAACACAGAAATGCATGGAAATCTAAACAACTTGCAAAAACATACCAGAGAATACTGTATCACACCTACCTTTGCTGTTTAGAAAATATGACTACAAATAGCATCACTGTTAGCCCAAATATTCCAAAGATAATAATTAAAAACCATGGAAACCGGAAATCTGAAACACATGGGAATATTTTACTCACACATGTATGAATAGTTGAAGCAAGTTTACATTTCACTTTCTTATATAAAAATATTTGCTAACTTGAATTTTTCTAGTGTAGTCAATCATCTAACTTGACAACTACAGAAGCAGAGTGGGATAAATTAGGATTTTTTCCTGTTCTAAGAACACCTCTGTCCACTATTCAAATCCTTTCACTTTAAAAAAAAATCTTCAAAATAAAAAGCATGTAGTTCAAACATAATGCATGATTTAAGAGTAAACCAAACTGCTTTAAGCATCTTATGTGTCCAAAGAGTGTCAATAACAGCCACATCAATGTTCATAGCATCTTAATTCATAATAGCTAAACTGTAGAACCAACTTAGATGCCCTTCAGTAGATGAATGGATAAAGAAACTGTGGTACATATACAAAATGGAATATCTCTCAGCATTACAAGAGAATAAAATTATGGCATTTGCAGATAAATGGATGGAGTTGGAGAATATTATGCTAAGTGAAGTAAGCCAATCCCAAAAAACCAAAGGCTGAATGTTCTCTCTGATAAGTGGATGCTGATCCATATTGGGGTATGTGTGGGAAGAATGGAGGAACTTTGAGCAAAGGGGAGGGGGAGAAGGGGAGGGGGCACAGGGGCAGGAAAGATTTTAGAATGAGATGAACATCATTACCCTAGGTACATGTATGACTGTATATAGGGTGCAACTCTACATCGTGTACAACCAGAGAAAAGAAAAGTTGTGCTCCATTTGTGTACAATGAATCGAAATGCATTCTGCTGTCATATATAACTAATTAGGACAAATTTAAAAAAAATATTGTCAATAAAGGCTTTGGTGCTAGGGGAACAAAACTGTTGTTTGTTAAGCTTAAATAAATGATGATCACTATATTTATTTATTTAAATAAATGTGATGATAGTTTTTAGCTTCCAGATTGAGGATATATCAAAAATATCAGGGCAGAGTTTTTATTAATGAATCATGACAGAAATTTCTTACACATGTGAAAGTTATGTTTTATAGCTGTAAAAAAGTGTGTGTGTGTGTGTGTGTGTGTGTGTGTGTGTGTTTGTGTGTGTGTGTCCCACTGAGGTTCCTGTTTTCAGAGTTTAGTATATTTTGAATGAAACTTGGGGGCATCTATTTCATTCCTTAGGACTAAGTGCCTCTCTCAGTAACCTTAAAGTTGGCTGCCAGTATTCTCACTACAGTGGCTGAGGCTAAACACCCTAATAAAAGACAAGTGGAATTTACCTTAATGTTGCTTTTCTAAATGTCTGCCTTTGTACTTTAATATGCTTTTCTTATTTAATAAGTTTTTAAAATCTCCTAGACAGTTATTCTAAATGTTTTTTTAAGAATTAGTAGGGAAGCGAACACCATTTTAGAACTTGTAATATCTGTAATTTTTATCAATAACATATTTAGAAGCATTAGAACTAGAGATTCATTTTTTTAAATATGGAAGGAAAAGTGAAGCTTTTGAAAAAAACCTATGCTAAGTGAATTAAATGCCACGATATTAAGCTTAAAAAGTGCTTAAATCACAGTTGCATTTTATCTCATATTGTTTAAAAACAAGTAACCAGTTAACCAGAAAAAATGATGCTATAAAAGTTTTAATTAGTCCTGTTTAGTGAGATTATTATACCTATTCAGTTAATGCAAAAATATAAACTTAGTTTCTCTGTAGCTTATTTCATTAACAAACTTCAATTCCTCCTAAGTCCCTATAAATCTTCTGTTTTAGTGTGGAAGGGCTATAGCTAATTCCCATTTGAGAGTGACAATACTATACACTTACTGCTCACTATTCACCAGCCTTCCCTATTTCTTTAGATAAAGGCAACTTTAACTATCTTTATGGTTCTTCTATATAAGATCTTCAAATGTTTCGTGTCTCTTCTGAGCCAAATAACACAACACTTGTTTTTTTTTTTGCAGGGGGAACAATGGGGATTGAACTCAGGGGTACTCAGCCACTGAGCCACATCCCTAATCCTATTTTGTATTTTATTTAGGAACAAGGTATCACTGAGTTGTTTAGTGCCTTGCCTTTGCTGAGGCTGGCTTTGAACTCGTGATCCTCCTGCCTCAGCCACCCAAGCCACTAGGATTATAGGCGTGTACCACCGTACTGGGCTTAATACACCAGTTCTTAGCTTTCCTCTAGAAAAAGGTTTCTCTAAAGCCAGTGAGCACCTGCAATAGAAGGCTTTCTCTTAGATGTCATCAATTCATTCATACATATAGACTGGGATGACTTCCTGCCCCCTGCATTAGTAAAAGATTTTTTTGATTATATATTAAAAACAAACTCATTGTAGAAAATTTTACAAATACAGAAATGATGTAAAGGAAAAAAAAATGTCTGAAATTTCACTATCCAGAGAAAACCACTGTATTCTCCTTTCTAAATGTCCATCTGCCCCAGGACCTTTCCTGAGTGAACTAATTTGAAAAAACTAAATCTTTCTGCTTTTATAACACATAATACCTGTCATAGATAGTGAGCTCAAGGTCTCACCCTGATATTTAGTGTTAGTGCATACAACTTGCTAACAGGCACATATCAATTGCTATTATTGCAAAAAGACATTTTGACTGCTATTTTAAATTTTTTTTTTACCTTCTTCACATGCGTATGGGCTCATTTGAGGAAGTGTTACAAAGAGAACCTCACTGAACTCGCCATATTTCTCTGAATTTCGTTGTCTGGATCTCACACGCACTTCATATTCTTTATCCAGTCTCAACGAGTATACAGGAACTGATGTTGACAATATTGGGTCCATCTTTCAAGACAAAATATATAAAGCTTATTGGCTAGAGAGTCAACAACTCAATGTAGTATATACTTTGGGTGTTCTTCCATTTGTATTAAAAATGGATTTCTATAAAGTAAGTGATATTTTAAAGTGTCCAGAGGGAGTTTGCTACTGAAAAGAAGATGAAACAAATTATGTAAAAAATAATTCTTGTTTAAAGGTTAATAGTCCTTAAATTTATTTTGGTTTAAACCCACAGATGTGATGGATTTGCTTAAAGAGATGCAGTTATATCTTTACATTAGGCTGTCAGATATTCTGCTAAGATTAAAGCAAAGAGATTCTTATGGGGAATGGAGGAACTATAAAGAAGATTACAAGATTACAGAAATATTGTGTACTTATCTAGGACATTTCAGTTTTGTATGGAGGAAGACATTAGAACAGAAAAAAACAAACACATTTCCATGCCAAAACAAATGATAGCCATAACAAATTATCTGTGTTCTTTGGAAATTCTGGGTAGTAATTTATTCGTTATTGTAGAATTGGAAAGCGTCCTGGAAATATCATAGTTGTCTTTGTTTAACTTCCAAATAATTGTATTAAAAGCTACTAAACACTTTAATCTACTTGTTCCAGAGGCTTAAAAACATACCTCAAAATAGTTTGCTATTCAAAATCTTCAAAAAAAAAAAAAGTCATGGGAGTTCTTTGGCAATTAGCATGTCTCACAACCCTTAGTCAGGATACCCCTTCACTTCCCCAGAGAAGGGTAGAGTGAGATTGCTAGACTTTTAAGACATATTGCTATCAAAGAGGTAAACCCAATAGCAATGACATTTTCCTCCAAACCAAATACTCAGAGCCAGTACTCAATGTGCTTTTCATGTATTTTTGGGTAGAACACCTTGTTCTTGTTTATAGTAAACTTGGAACGCTCACTTTTTCAACAGCATGGATTTTTACCTAAATAAAATCCTCATAATTGGTTTCATTAAGTCAGAAAGCCAGGCCTTGAGCATCTGAAACAAATTTTTCTTTCACCCAGGTTGGTTTCTACTCACAAAACACTTCTTCTTCATGACATGGTTCGTTTGTATCTTTTACAGGAGCCTCTGAATATATGCAATATTTACATTCTTTGCCTAAATACATTCTTTGAAGCAGGATTCTGAATATTAAACTTACTTAGTTGCTTTCTTAAAATATTTTTAAAAATATATTTTTTAGTTTTAGATGGACACAACACCTTTATTTATTTATTTATTTAATGTGGCTAAGGATCTGAAGAGACACTTCTCAGAAGTTGATGTACAAGCAATCAACAAATACATCAAAAAATGTTCATCATCACTAGCAATTAGAGAAATGCAAATTAAAACCACTCTAAGATTTCATCTCACTCCAGTCAGAATGGTAGCTATTAAGCATACAAACAACAATAAGTGTTGGCTGGCGAGGATGTGAGGGGAAAGGTACATTATACATGGCTGGTAGGACGGCAAACTGGTACAGCCAATATGAAAAGAAGTATGGAGATTTCTTGGAAAACTGGGAATAGAATCACCATTTGACCCAGCTATCCCCCTCCTTGGTCTATCCTCAAAGGACTTAAAATCAACATACTACAGGGGCACAGCCACATCAATTGTGCTTTATAGAAGCACAATTCACAATAGCTAAACTGGAACCAACCTAGATGCCCTTCAATAGGTGAATGGATTTTAAAAATGTGGCATATAAACACAATGGAATATTACTCAGCAATAAAAGAGAATAAAATCATGGCATTTGCAGGTAAATAGATGGAGTCAGAGAAGATAATGCTAAGTGAAGTTAGCCAATCTCAAAAAACCAAATGCCAAATATTTTCATTGATATAAGGAGGCTGATTCATAGTGGAATAGGGAGTGGGAGCATGGGAGGAATAGATAAACTCTAGATAAGGCAGAGGCGTTGGAGAGGACGGGAGGGGGCATGGGGTTATTAATGATGGTGGAATGTGATGGATATTATTATCCAAAGTACGTGTATGAAGACACAAATTGGTGTAAATATACTGTGTATACAACCAGAGATACAAAAAGTTGATCTCTATATATGTAATAAGAATTGTGGATATATTCTGCTGTCATATATAAATTAAAAAATGCAGAAAGACCTACATTTTTTTAAAATATATTTTTTAGTTTTAGATGGACACAATACCCTTATTTTATTTGTTTATTTATTTAATGTGGTGCTCAGGATCGAACCCAGTGCCTCACACATGCTAGGTGAGCACTTTACCACTGAGACACAACCCCAGCCCTCTTAAAATATTTTTAAAAGTTTATGTTTTCATTCTTGGAGCCCTAATTTTTCTGTTATCAATACCAAAACTATTTATAGATTTCTCTAACAACAGAACTAAAAAGGGGCCATCGGTAATTTGACTTGTGACCCCCTTCTCTATCTTCTTTCAGCATTCTACACCAGCAACACCAAACTCAAATTTTCTCATATGGCTCCTTCAGTACATGCCACTGGCCTGTCGGGGGGCACCAATCCTCTGTGGGAGTATTGTGGATTGCTGACGTTCTAAGTCTTTCTTGGCACCCTCATCTGACAGATAATACACTTCTGTTACAAAAAAGAAGTATTTTTCACTGCTAAAATCAGTTACACATATGTTTCTACACTACACTGCAACTTCCTGAAAAAATTCATTATCTTTCTAATATCTTAAACAAACACCTAATGTTATACCCTTAAGAACTAGAAAAAGAATAAACTAATCCCAAAGTTAGCAGAAGGAAGACAATGATAAATATTGGAAAATAAATAAATGAAATAGAGACCACTGAAAAACAATGGAAAACATCAACAAAACAAGAACGGTATTTTTGAAAAGCCAAACAAATTCTACAAACTTTCAGCTAGACTAAGAAAAAAATAAGATTTAGATAAATGAAATCAGAAGTAAGAGACATTATAACTGATACCAAAGAAATACAAAGATCTAAAGAGACTGCTATGAAATTATTTTCCACAAATTGAATACTCTAGAAGAAACGGGTAAATTCCTGGATACATGCAACATACCAAGAGTGAATTATGAAGAAATAGAAAATCTGAACAGAAAACTATGTGAGGGGAGTGAGTCAGTAATATGTTTCCCATCGAAGAAAAGTTAGGACCTTGAGGCTTCATGGGTAAATGCTACTAAACATTTACAGAAGAACCAATACCAACCCTTCTCAAACTCTTCCAAAAATTGAAAATGTATATGCTTATACTTTTAAACCCATTTTATGAGGTCAGGATTACCCTGATACCAAGCTAGACAATGATACTACAGAAAAAGAAAATTATTGGACAGTATCCCTGATGAACATAGATGCAACACCTCCGCAAACAAAATACTATCAAACCCAATTCAATATACATTAAAAGGATCATTCATCATGATTAAAGGACTTATCCCAGCAAGAATGGTTTGGCCTAAAAAATCTATACATGTTTTATACCACATTAGCATAATCAAAGCAATATGATCATTTCAATAGATGTAGAAAAAGCATTTAAAAATATGTAGCATTTCATCAGAAAATTAAAAATAAAATTAGCACTTCATTTAGCAATTCCATTCTTGAGTTTATAGCCAAAGAAAATGAAGTCAATATGTCAAGTTATGTTTTCACTTTCATGTTAATGGTAGCATTGTTCACAATAGTCAAAATAGGATAAAAAATAAAATAGAGATCAACCTAAGAGTCCATCAATAGATAAACAGGCAAATGAAATGAGGTATATAAGAATGGAATAGTATCAGCCTTAAAAAAAAAAAAAAAGGAATTCTATCATTTGCTACAACACAAATGAACCTAGAAGACATTAAGTGAAATGCCAAGTATGAAAGGACAAATGTCACATGATCTTTTATGTGGAATCAAGAAAGGTGAACTCATAAGTAAGGAGTAGAATGACAGTTACCAGGGTCTGGAGGACTAGAGTTTGAAGACTTGGTGTGATACTGGTGAAATGATATAAAATTTCAGTTAGGAGGAATGTGTTTAAGAGATTAATTGTACAACACAGAGACTTTATTTAAAAGCTATGTGTTACATTTTGAAAGTTACTAAGAGAGAAGAATTTAAGTGTCTTCAGTTCAAAAAATGATATGAGATAATGCATATATTAATTAGCTCAATTGAGTCATTATACCATGTATACAAATTTCAAAACATAATGTATGTGATAATCTATACAATTTTTATTAAACAAAAATCACCATTCCCTCTAGTATTAGTCATTTGGAAAATACTGATGCACTGAGTTATGTAAATTTTTTAAAATTTCACACATTCTACAATATAACATGAAGACATCACATTGGTAATATCACCATGGATATTACTGGGAAAATCTTCATACACTGGAAAGTTACCAAGCTCATGGCTGCAGATAGAAGTTTTCCCAAATTTTGATTTTCTCGTGAAAGTTCAGATTTTGTCATTGGTACCAATGCTCAGTTGTTGTTTTTTTCTTGAAGTGACAGTTTTTTCCTTCTTTTTTTTTTTCTTAAGAAATGACTGACAATGCAGATATGAGGAATCATCGACCAGTTGTTCTTCAAGTAAAACTAGTGTTCCAGGCAAACAAGTAGCTCTCTCAGCTGACAACTCAAGTCGCTGGACTGCTTTTGCACTCCACCTCACTAGTGCCTTGGAATGCAGCAGAAGTGTGTCATGTGTCCTTTACGTGTGCCACATAGAATGTTAAAAAGCTATACACTCAAACGTTGGGATTTCAAGCACAATCTTATGTGAAACTGTTTTTCCTCCCCTTTCCGGTGAGCTCATGGTGGGGAGGAACAGAGTGACTTTTGGAAAGTCTGGTACTGGGCCTTGACTCCTGCTCAGGTGCCAGCAGTTTTCCCACCATTGTTTCTGTACCATGAGTCAAATAGTGAAAATGTAGAGGATATCTTAGTATATTGTAAAAATAGAATACCTGTGGACTCCCTGAGAGCATCTGGGGACCCTTAGAGGTCCATAGTTCACATTTTGAGAACTGTTGCTCCAGGTACCTAGCACAGTGCTGTGTGCAGATTATTTATTTTTATATCTTGTTGCTCAATAAATGATTTTAACTTGAATTTGGAAAGTCTTGTTTGAGTTAGCATCCAACCAGGTTTTTCTTTTTTCTTTTTTTGCACCAAGTTATAGATCAGATATCCAAATTAAAATGATTCAGAAAACAGAACCTCAAAGCCCAGTTTTGTAATGGTTTAAACTTTGTAAGCTGCTCAAACCTAACTTTCCTTTACTGATAAAATTGGTTTCTTTTTCCGTGGTTCACTGAATGCACAGGATGAGCTCTGCCAGGCTGCTGGGTACAACCTGAAGTCTGGCCAGAAACTGCTTGACTTGGCCGAACCTGTGGTTTGACTGATTTCAAATTTGTTATATTGGGAGCAGCATGATAATCCTATTTTTCTTCTTGTTGTGTGCCATGTGGGTTCTCATAGACGTGGCAAAGGAAGTAAGGGCTCAGAGGCTAATCTGCTCTCCACTAGCCCATGTAAGAACCTCTTAGCTTGATTCTCCTCTGAGATATGAAATAAAACACCTTTCTGACACCTCTAAGGAACAAATTCCTTCCTCTGCTTCTCTTCTGGAGACACTTAAGAACTGATTTAAATGGGGTCTTGTGTGTAGCTGAAATTAGAATCATGGGAAGTATTTGGCCATAGCCCTCTGTTGACCTTGATCATAATCTTTCTCACGGTTAGTCACATCTCCAAAGACAGCTAAGTGGTTAGAGTTTGCTATTTTGCTGTACTGTTACGCTGAACAACAAGGCAACTAGGAAAATTCCATGATGATATTTTACAGAACAGATCAATTTTTCTCCAGTAAGGAATTATGGGGCACATAGCATGGGTATATGGAGTAGGTCAAAAGGAAGTCTAATTGTAAATGAGAGATGGATTGTTATAACAGCAAGAAGAAAAGTCAAAGTGTAAGAGGGAGTAAAATCTTACCATCTTCCACTGAGTTTCATTTACTTCTTTGTATTGAAGTTCATATTCCAGAACTATCCATCCCTTCTGAACATCTGCATTGGGTGGTGGTTCCCATCTTACTTGGATATCAGCATAAATCCCAGTTAAACTTATGTTCAGTAAAGTCCAGTTGAGGCCAATGGGTGGATCAGGTTGCACTGTGCAATTCAATAGAGAATTAGTACTCAGGAGATACAACTTGATGTTAATGGAGGATTTTCCTCTGAAGAGACCAATTACTTCATATATTTCATACTTTTAATTCTTTCAATATTTCTATTATTATAACCCTCATAAGAGAGTACCATTTTTAAATTTAAGGATAATCTATTTTTTAAAATTTTTATTTGATTTTTAAGAAGAAAAGTTCATTTTAAGTCTAAAATCTGATCTATAAGATTTTATTGAAGATCTGTCAAATTTTATTTCTTTTACCTCTGAGAGCATGAATAGGATTTTGGCAAGGAAATTTATTTTAACTCAAATCTGAAGGAACAGAGAATCAGAAAGACCTCAGTATTTAAACATGGGCTATATTGGTACTGGGGTAGAGGAATCCTTTTTTCTTCCAAACTCTGAATGATCAGAGGATAAGACATTTGTGTTACTCATTTCTTGATTGCTACCAATGCAATTCTTTGGAAAATTTTGCAGAAACTCCTGAGTTCTGCTGTCTTCCCAGCCATGCACTTTCTTTAGACACAAGAAAGGAATTACACTGCTCTCTTGGACTGTTGGTGATCCAGAGTTCTCTGCTTTTTGCTTAACTGACATGTGAACAATCTGAAATAGTGTTGTGCTCCCTTTATCAAATCTACATTCTTAGATAAATCTGTTGCATTCTTATTTTTAGAACCACAAAGACCACAATTTCCCAAAGGTTGATGAAGAAAATGATAGAGTCCAAAGCTAGGAGCTATATCTAAATTTATATTCTAAATAATCCCAAGTAGATCATTGCTAAGATTATTGAGAGTTTTGAAAATCTGTTGCAGATACTGAGTAAAATTTACATTCTAACATATGTAGAGGGTCACCTACAGGTCATGGGCTATGAGGAGCTCTTATTGGTCACAAATCTGGGGCCCAAAATGGGAAGTTCTTGTACTGATCCAGACTGGAAACAGAATTTATAGCATAAGAACATCTTGTTGACCATGGTGGAACAGACAGCACTTTTTTTTTAATGGAGAAAATCTTTCCCTATTTTTAAACAGTAGTCAGATACACATGACTATTTTGCAAATAAAATCTGAAGATGTTCAAACTACATATGCCCATATAATGTCCTCACCTTTCCAGATTGGTTGAGGAATCCCTATAGCCAAAGCTTCATCCTTTCCATGACCAACATATAAAACTGTTTTTGCTGAACATTTTCTAAAACTTATTACTCATGTTGCATCTTAGAAATGTCCATTTCTACTTTAAATAGAGAATATGGGACAGTGTCCTTTTGGAAAAGGATCCGTATCACTCTCCAAGTATAGTAATAAACTCCCCCTTACCTCTATAAACACACCTATTCACTATACTTAGAACTCCTCTGAGATATATAAATATCTTCTAAATCTAAGGACCAGTCCTATGAAATAGTAGAATGCATATGCATAACATCAAAGCGACTGCAGCTTGTTTGATTGACGTCTCTCTCAGGATGCACTAAGGTTTCTGGGGGTTCTTTGCTTTCTCCGGCACTCTCAGCTCCTCTCTGCTACTGTAACTTTGCTATTGTCTTTTGCCTTGATTTCACAGTCTAACCTCTCCACTTCTAGTCTGTCCTACTCCGATCTACCATCCACACAAAGAAAGGTTATTTCCTCTAAGATTTTAATAACATTTTAGGTTATACTAGATAACCTCAAGATTAAGCGCATGGACTCTGGAACTTTGCTCCCCAGTTTCAAATGCCAGATCTACCTATGAGCTATTTGACCTTAAACTAGTCACTTTGCTCCTCTGAGCCTCAGCTGTATCATCTGTAAAATGGGAATTATAACAATACTTATCTCCTACAATTATTATGGCTGATACATTGTGAGTCTTTTGTGAGTATTAATTATTAATATCCTAAGATCATTTCCCTGCTTAAGTTCTGCAAACATACCTCTTGGAGTAAGATAAAACCCAAATTTCTTTGTAAGGAACATAAGACCACTTAGCTGACTAATAGGCCTGCCCAACTGTTCCTGATTCTTGAATATTCTGTGCTCTTTGCCATTTTTAGAATTTAGTTGTTGTTCAAAGACCCAGTCACTGTGATATGCGGCAACTCTCATGCACACTTTAAGAGATAAATGTGACCATCTCTGTTGCTACCCTTTCTCAAACCTCAGGCCTAATCATTCATGCTTTTGGCCATCATGTTGGTTGCTCTGCGTTCCACACACTTGAAATCCAACATCTTCCACACTGTACTGTAATTATTTGTGAACATACTTGGCTCCCTCACTCAAGTTTGTCTTACTCATTTCGTGGCACAACACCCTCCTCAGTGGCGACACATGCAGGCACTCATTGGAAGTGAGCATTGGCAGGTAAGTGAGTTGGCAGGGCCAGGAGTGGAATGTGGTCTTAGCTAACCCAGTATTCTTACAACTACCCTCTCTTACTACCCAATTTGCCTTCAACTCAATAACTACACCACTGATGTTAGGACATATACTAAATAGTCTCTCCAGACTATGCCACTGGGTTATCTTTTCTGATTGTTCATGATTTTCTCAAACTTTTCAAAGTCAGGTTATGAAATATTACCATTGCATCTATCAAATATTAAGTGTGTGCATCTGAACACATTTCTCCAGTCTCTTACGGTTTGCTGATGCCTGGGAAACCACATATAAGAGCAACATATCTTGGAGAAGAGACCAGGAATTCTTGTAAGTAACAAACAAGATTTTGTGGGTAGGTTTTGAGGTACTAGGTCAGCAACACAATCTTTCTTTGCTTCTTTCCACTTTGCTGTTTGTCCTCCTCTAGTATAAACATGGATATTCCAATTGTGGTTGTTTGATTTGTTTTGTTTCTCCTAATTTCCACAAGATGGGCAAGAGATCATTTGTTTGGATCTTTCTCTTAGTCCATTGAGCTGATTATCCTAAATGTTTGTATTGAGATCTTATAAACATGTCTTTAACTTGATTTGTGACTGTTTTGTAAATATAAAATTCCAGAATTATTACTCTTTGTATAAAGAAATATCTAGGTTTTATTATAGCAATGATAGAGGTCAAAGGTCAACATGTTTCCATAGGTTTGAACATAATAATAATATTAAATAATTATGACAGGATTTAAGAGTACATTGAATTTGCCTCTCAGAGCGGCATACAAAAATGCTACCCAGATTTAAAGACTTCTGAAATCATCCAGGTGCAAGAGGGCACACATGTAATCCCAGGGACTCAGGAGGCAAGATTGAGGCCATCCTGGACAATTTAGCGAGATTCTGTCTCAAAATTAAAAACAAGCAAACAAAACAACAACAACAAACAGGTTGGGAATGAAGCTCAATAGTGGAGAGCTCCTGGGTTCAATCCTCAGTGCCATACATAAGTAAATAAATATTAACAAAATAAAAATAAAATATAATAAAATAAAAAATTCCTAAAAGAAAGACTCCCATTCTTTTCTTTATGAGATTTTCTGGCAGGCTTCTTTATGCCAGAGTTGACTTAACTTGCCCTTCCTCTAGTCTCTTATTTATCAATCGATCCCATCTCCTGTGAAATAGACTCCATGTTCCTAAGGAACAAGGCTTTAATGTCTTTCTACTTGACTCTAATTGAAAACTGTGGACCTCCCACTTATTTGGTCTAAATCTATGTCAAGTAAAACACAAACCTGTGATTTACCTATTTCCTCAACTGAGAAGCACTTCTGATCCACCGTACCACCGTTGTCAGTTAGCTTGATACAGTAGGGTATCCAAATGGAGGTATATGACGAGTTAAAGTGACAGCTGTTTTCTCCAGCAGAGACATAATCGGGACATTCCTTCCATTCTTGGGTCCATTCTTGAGTGCTCCTGAAATGGAGGGTAAAAAGGATGAAGATTTTCCAAAATTATTTCCAGCTTAGGTCAAGGTAAGGGGCTTGACACATTCAATAAACTGGGCACACAAATATTTTATGACACAAATACTTTGTATTTTAGCAACACCATTTCCAGAAGTATCACATCTGTGGACAATAGTGTCAGTTTATGAAGACTGTTAGGAGGCCATTTGGTGCTCCTGCCTTTAGTGCCAGTTCCTATTAAGGGATTCCTATGGTAGATACTTCATTATTTCTGTTCTACAGAAGGTCTGGCTTAGGGAGGTTCTAAAAATGTTCCTTAAGCAAAACAGTTCAGAGAGTCAATCCTCAAACTGTAGGAATTCCCAGAAAACTGTAAATCTTTGGACTTGATGGAGAAACTGAGCTGACATGCTGATGGTGCGCTTCATAGTGAGTGATAGGTTATATCCATACTATGTGATGCAACAATAAATAAGACTTGGTCCCTACCTTCAGGCTAGAAGATGCCTCAGCAATTACCATCTAAATACTTTTTAGCATTCATTTTATTGACATTTAATGAGAATTGGCTACATATGAAACACTATGCTGGACACAATGGGAGATTCATGGATTTCTAAAGAATTATTCCTGTCTCAGGAGGAAAAAAGAAACTATTATAAAGGAGTGTGGATAAGTGCTCATTTGGGTCCTTAAGACTTCAGAAAAGAGGGCTGGGGATGTAGCTCAAGTGGTAGTGCACTCGCCTGGCATGCGTGCGGCCCAGGTTCCATCCTCAGCACCACATACAAACAAAGATGTTGTGCCCGTTGAAAACTAAAAAATAAAATATTAAAATTCTCTCTCTCTCTCTCTCTTAAAAAAAAAGACTTCAGAAAACAAAATGATTACTCTAATTGTTCATGGAAGGTGGTATTTTTGCCAACGCTGAAAGATGGGTAAAAGTTTAGTAGATGGCAACAGGAAAAGGAGAGAATAGAAGGGTCAAAGGTGTTACTGGTGAGAGCGAGAGGAAGTGGAATGGCAGGAAAGATTTTTATTATGTTAGAATTGCTTACTTGGTGGGGTAATTCATTATCCCTTTATTACTCACTACTTACATCAGTTGAGAAGAGGATTTATAAGGAAAGGGGTCATGAAGCCATGCAATCCTTTGTTGAGGAAGAAGGTAGGGATGGCTTTCTGTGGGCAGAGGTGCCTGTGGCTGGCAGGCTAGACTGGAGATTTGGGACCACCCCACTATAGGAAGGTGCTGGGCAGCAGTGGACAACGACAGCACCGTGGGGAAGGTAGGGTCTGGGAAGACAGGATAAGAAGCTGAGAGAAGACACAGGTTTCCTTTGGCACTAGACGGAAGCTTGTATAGTGTCAGAGTCCTTGAGACAACTGCTCATCGGCTGTCAGAATGAACTTGGGATTAAAACAGTAGAGACTTCAGAGTCTGAGACAGTAAACTGTTGCTTAAATTGTGGTTGAGATTCTTAAAAGTTGTATTTCTTTGGATGAGAGGGAGATTTATCCCTCAAGGGAAAAGTGGGTAAAAGCAAAGGAAAGGATGAAGTATGTGTATATTTAGAATAATAGAAAAAGTTCGGAATATTAGAGAAATAGGTGAGTTGTTGAATTATAGTTTGCTGACTTGATCTCAACTTTCAAACTGAGTTCGAGTACATTAAACAATTCTCAATTGTCCAGGGAATGAGGCTTTCTTATGAAAATAGAGGAGATATCAAATACATTCAGCATAGTTGAGAGGATAAGTCAGAAAACTCAAAATATTAAGATGTTCCAAAGATGCAGGTCTGGATTTGGAATAAAAAGCTTGGCACAGTATTTCTGCTTTGGCAATGTTAGCACCTGATGCCCAGAAAGACTATGTGAAAAACCCTGTTTGGGTCATCCCAAATCTAGTAGGTTCTCTGGAAAATTACTCATTGCATGATGGATCAGGAATAAGTTTTTCAAAACACAATGCCCAATCTCCTTCTTCATTGACCAAAATTGAATAAATTCATTTCCTAAAATATTAAATCTAGACACAAAAAATCAAATGGACTCATGAAACAGATCCTCAGTCACCTGACTTCACTGGATTGAATGTCTACATTGACCAGATATAGAATGACCAGAGCCAATTTGTAGAAGTTATTCTCTCCTTCTCTTAGACCTGAAAGTTAATTTCTTTGGTTTGTTTCTAAACTATCTTGTGAAAACAGAAAAAACCATAGAAGGAGATTATCAGTAAAAATGGGAATAAAGAGCAGAAGAAATATTTTCCATGTAAAGGTAACCAATTAGAGAAGAAACTGTAAAAATAAAACATGTTATGTTGTAAAGGCAACTGTTTTCATTACATACAGCTCATGCTTTCTTTTTTTTTGGTGGGGAAAGAACTTAAAATTTAAGCCTTGGGGAGGGAAAAATAACAATTCCCTTTCCTCTTCTAATTTCCTTCTCAACCTTGCATGGAAAATGAAATGACTTTAAAAAGGCCAGGATAATTTTTGCAGCAGGCTATTGTGGAGGGTGTGTAGGTGTGTGTGTGTGTGGGTACACTCTTAAGGACCAAGTGTTCACATGTTCACTTCCACTGAGAACAGAGCATTTCTATGAGAGAAGCTGAGAGCAGAGGAGCTCCACCAGCCTTTCCAGGCCAACCTTGCTATGCCTGTGGTTTACATTCACACTAAGTCCTCTTTAATCTCAGAGGCTGGACCTGGCACCATGTCCACCACAGGGTGGCAGAAACTGTTCATAATTAGCTGCCCCACCATGCGGATGCTGTCTGGTCTGCCAGCTCACCTGGCAAGAAGCAGGGCTGTGAGCAAAGCACATGAGTGCCTGTGGACTGTACCTTCCCCTGTCCTGTTGACAGCCTGATGTGTTAGGTTTCATTATGCTTTGGAGACCAAGGCCAGGACAGTGAACTGAAGGCCTATGTGCCACTTCCTTCCTGGCTCCCTTCTGCCTTCACAGACTCCAGTGTTGGATAAAGTCATGTCACAGATTTATTTGTGTATCAGTGATGGAAGCATATTTCTATAATTTCAGGAGTTACCTGGAAACTAAACTCTAAGAAATAATGACAAGAACCAGAATCTCACTTGTATTATCCTCTTTGTACAAATGGGTAATGAGAGTCTGATACATTTCTGCCCTAATCAATGACATGTAGTCCCAGTTTCCTAATCCCTTGATTCTATGCTTCTCAAATAAATGGGACTTGTGGTCTTATGCTAGTTTGACCAAGATACTCAAAAATAGTTATATTTTTGTAGAGAAAGCCTCAAATACTGATTTTGTAACTTTGGGGTTGGCATTTACGTAATCTTGAGTTCGTATTCACACAGTTTAAGAATATGATGCTGTTGGGTTGGGGTTGTGGCTCAGTGGTAGAGTGCCTGCCTGGCATGTGTGAGGCACTGGGTTCGATTCTCAGAGTCTCATAAAAATAAATAAAGATCCACCAACAACTAATAAAATATTTAAAAAAGAATATGATTTTGTTTTCTCCTGAAACTCCCAAGTTCTTCTAGGGTAAAAAGCTAAGAGATCTTTCTGAAAATATCTCAGATTTTCCTTCTACCTGGTCCCAGAATCCTGGTTAGTGCAAAGCCTGGGTTTGGGCTGGGGATGCTGAGAGACTGGGATGTGACTCTTCACATCCCTATGGACAGAGTTATGTGGCCCTGTTTGATGATGGTAAAAAACAGATATGTATTTGTGAAGGCTTCATATCTGTGGATTTATCTTTCTTCTCATGTCCAAATTAGGTGAATTTTAAGGTGGTGAAAAAATATTTTAATGAAGTGGGTCCACGTTCAGAGGTTATTCTGCTGTTTCTGTTTAGTTTGATTAATGGTGGCTGCATGAAAAACTTATTCTGTTTTGATGAAGCTGGCTCTCTGAGTTGCTATAGTAAAACATGATGATTAAACCTACTGTCTCTCTCTGTCTGACTTTATAAACAGCATGATCAACTCATATATATTGAAAAATGTTGCCAAACACTTTAGCTTCCTGTCTGAATATATTTATCTACTTCAGTTTTGTTTATTGGCCTGTATCTCTCTTGCAGTATCATCCTTAAGGCAAATAAGTATGTGTTTCTGGTGCCCAACTATCTCATCTTCCTGTGTCCTTCTGGTGCTTCTGAGAGACCTCTCACACCTAGAAAGTTGGTAAGACTGGTCTTGGTTGCTAATTTAGAATATTTGTTATTTGCATGTTAAACACAGCTCTGCATTAAAAATGGTCTTACATACCAATAATCACAAACGGTAAAGAACCAAAATCATTTTTTATAGCCCAGAAGTGTTGGGATTCTACATCATTATCTTAAATTATTGTTATACCACCATAAGAAAAGTGGCTACCATTTATTGAGTACTTATTATGTGGGAGCAATGTGTTTTTTCACACGTTATATAATAAAATCCTCAGGAGGCAAGTCTGTCATCTCCACTCTACAAGTGAGGAGGCTGAGCAGTGCACAGACTAGATCCTTTGCTGAGCATTACTTGGTAAGAAGTGTGGAGGGCAGGCTGGAATTCAGGGTCTTTGGCCCTGAGGTCATGTCCCCAGCTGCTTACTGCATCTTTCTTTCCAGGTCCTCTGTAAACAGCAACATCTTTGGACTGATGAACAAGAGCTTAATCTGAAGGGTCCTCACTAACCTGGCATCTTGGCTTAGGCCTTCCCTACGGGATTTGAGTGGTAAAGAGGAGATAATGAAGTGTGTAAACCTAAAATTTAGAAAGGTAGAAAGGGTACGGTATTGTTCTATAGCAAAGTAGGGTGACTATGATTGACAACAATTAATTGGCTATTTAAAGATAGCTAGAAGAGGGTTTAGAATGTTCTCAGAACAAAGAAATGGTGTATTTCTGAAGTGATGAATTTGCCAATTACCCTGATCTGATTGCTGCATATTGTATGCATGTATCGAAATGTCACACTGTGCGCTGTAAAAATGTACAGTTATCATGTGTCAATTTTTTAAAAAGGAAGTAATGTAAGAGTAAATAGAAAAGGAAGTTATTCCAAGTGAGAAGTTAGAAATAAACTACTTGGGTGGTGACAGTATTTCAAGATCTTTGTTTCCCTCTTTCCCTGTTATTTTATAGGACCATTGGTTAAAATGCAAGAGAAAAGTATTACACTAAAAAGAACTATTTAAGAGGAACATAGAAAACAAGCTAAGTCTATGAAAACATACACTTTGCAAAACACACCTGTGGCTTTCTGGAACAATAAAGTAAGATTCAAAGCCCTGCCCTAGCCTACAAAGCTTAGCAAGTTCTGTGCCCTTCCCTTATCACTCACCCCATCTTTAGTCTTGTGGCATCTGTGCTGGCCTTTGGCTTTCCTCAATCAGGGCAACACTGCCCCCAGGGCCTTTGCACTTGCAATTTCCTCTTCCTAGGCAGCCCTTTCCCTTGATATTCACACGGTCTGTCTCATTTTATTGTCTCTGCTCTCACACACCACATTAGAGAGGTATCCTATGACCTCCCTGTTTCAAATGTCACTCAAGGACCCTATGCACACACTCACATGCTGACATTCTTCATCCTCTTTCTGGACTTACTCTTCTTGATAACTTGTGTTATAAGCTGTTATTTTATTTAATTTTTTATTGTCTGTTTTCCCCTACTGATAAGAATCTCCAGGAGAATAAGAATTTAATCTTTTTGTAATCACTGTTATACCTCCAGTACCTAAAATAATACCTAGCACATAGTAAGGGCTTAATTAATATTTTTTAAATAAATGAATGAACAAATATATCTTGGTCATCAAAATAAATTACTGCCATTCCTACACTGCATGTGATGCAGTACACACTCTAATTGGCAGATCTATAGAGAGAAAGATCAGAATGGCATGGAGGCTGCACCTTCTAATATAGAACAGCTGTATGGATCCTGGGGTCTTTAAGCCATGATGACCCCCATCTGTCCAGTAGCATGAAAATGTCTCTAGTTCAGGTGAACGGCACTTGGTGAATTTAGGCTTCCCAGAAGAATCTGTAGAATAAAAAGAAAAGGCAGGCATGAAATCAGGAGAATCATGTGTGATCCCAATGACACACATACTGAAAGTGTATAAAAGAAAAAAACTACTGGGATAAAGCCAGCCTATTCTGCATCTAGGAGGTGATACCAGCATCTTCCAGAAAATCTATTTTCCTGGGTCATCATCTCAGAACACATTGTTTGCCAATGTCAGCCCTAGATTCTAGGAACATAAAGTTTTTCTTTCATTTCAGGTATTATTCCTGGAGACCTGTGTGAGAAACCAGAGGTAGAGATAAGGATTTGGGTACAGGTGGTTCATTTGAAAGGCACCTACAGTAAGAGAGCAGAGAAAGCAGAAACAGAAGGAAGAGCTAATAAAGGGTGTTATCAGTGACTGACCTCATCATTGCAGTGGCCATTTGGGTCCAACCCAGTAAGGCCTCTAGAAATGTACCTTACCATTGTCCTGTGTAATGATGGGAAGGGTAGACATTTGTCTACCACCCCACAGCACCCACTGGTTGAGGGTTTCCCTGGAGATGTTAACTCCCATGTGTTCCTAGGGTGTCCCTATATATGGGATGAGGATCCTTGCCTAAACAGGCACTTGAATGTGCCCACCAACATGCATGGTGACAACTGTCCACCATAGATGGTTGGGATGACATTAAGTGGACCCAGGAGATACAGAGTGGCAATCACAGTATACACTGCAATGATACTTTTCTTTATACTGATTTTGGATTAAAAAGTCATTTATATAGTTGCATTCTTCCAACAGATTCAACCAGTAAACCCATTAAAGAGATGCCAACTCTAAATAATTTGTGCAAATATATGTGGCAGTTCTAATTTGGTAAGTAGAGAGTCCCTCCTGTGTGTTAGGATATAGTAGTAGCCCAAACCCCTCTGCACCTATGAAAGCTTCAACTATAGATGTGGAGTGGGCAGCCTGAAGCAAACCCACTTTTGCATATCAATCCTCAGGGCTCTGATCCCATGGCAATTTTAGAGATGATCGAATTTCTTTTTCTTTTCTTCTTTTTTTCTCCTTACATGGTTAGTATTCAATTTTATTATAAGCTTAATGTATTTGTTCTATGGTCTAAAATGTTCATTTTGGGGCATTAGGGAGGCTCTCAGTCCTGAGGTTAAAAGATAATAAAAAAGACAATAAAAATAAATAATATGTAAACAAATAAACAAATGTTGATTTGAAATAGCAGACACACACCTGGTGTTCTGACCCCAAATATGCCACTTTTTCCCTTTGGCATCAAAGTCATGAGAAATGGGAAATGATAAACTTTCTAAATAAATCCATAGTTCAGCCATTCTTTCAACTAATACCTAGCAGACATCAAATTTGTGACAGGTCTGGTTCTAGAGATAAAACAGTGAACAAAACTAATAGTCTTGGTCCTCATGGAGTTTACATTTTAGGGGCCTGGGGAGGTGGACATTCTATGCAGAAAAACAAACAAACAACAACAACAAAACACAAACATAACAAAAAGGGATTAATAGGGCTGGAAAATGGAGACTTCATCACTCTTCCTTTAATACTCATGCTGATATAGTGAAGAAGCTCAGACTTAGGAAATATGACTTTAAGTATGCCTCTTGCTCTGAATAGCAGGGGGATGTTTGGGAAATCCCAAGTTGCAGACATGTACTTACTCCTGGGAGCAATGTTGGGGACACAAGAATTTTTTTTGGAATAAAAGTCCATGGCCATAAATAATATTATAAAAAAATATTCAGTTTCCTGTATGAACTGGAAAACTTAGAAGAGTTTGGGGGTATGGATGAGATCTGCTCTGGTATGAAGGGCAGACTGTTAGTTCTCTCTCTGTGTTCACTAGTTCTCTAGAGTTCTCTAACCCCTCTAAAAGCAAAGAAATGTAGGCACCTGTATGATCCATTACAAAAGTATACAGCAGTGAGAAAGGGGTGTCTTTTGTGAGGTAAGCACCTATCATATAGTAAAGTCTTGGAAATTTTCCTTGTTTCTCTTAGCTGAAGTACTGAACACTCTATTTTGAGTCCTTCTAGAAAATTAATAATTATCAAAATGTACTTAAAACATAATAATTTTAATACCTGTGGGTTTGAAAAGAACACTTCATATTCTGGTTGTTCATTTGCAAAGAAAATAAGAAGAGGAAATGCACTAAGTTAGAAATTGAAAGATTTGTGACAGTAGAACTGGGTTCTTCCCTTCACCAGCAGATACCCTCCGGAGCCCAGCCTCTGGCACAGGACCACCCCTTCTGACCAGCAGACTACTGCTGCAGGTCAGACCAGGCCATATCCACCCACACCGACTTGCACCGGACCCGGGTCCAGGGTAGGTATGAGTTCACCACCCTCACCCCACCTGGGAGCCTAAGCTTAGCTCACTTCCATCTTGGGACACTGAAGTCATCTCCATAGCCTTCCCCTATGAGAAAGCAAAACTGTTTGTTCCTATGGGACAGCAATAGCCACTATCTTTTTTACAACAGACAGGGCCTAGAAGCAGCTGCATCTCAGAGCAGGCATCCCAAAGAGAGTGTGAGGACCACCCTTTCAGCCACATCTCTGTAAGACATTGCTTCCTTCTTGGGGCACCTTAACAATTATCTCAAGTTACCTTGGCTATTGCTGCCACCACCTTTAGTTTCAATAGCATACATTGAGGGACACCAGCAGGGTCTGGAAGCCCAACATCAAGGTGAGGTACAGACAATCTGCATGGGTACTACAAGAATATGAGTAGAAACTGTAATATCTCAGATCCATGCTGCAAGAAAGGAATACTCACAGGCAACATGAAAAAACAAGGGAGGAAAGTGCCCCAAACAAACCAGGACACTATAATAACAGAACCCATGGACAGCGAAGTGGATGAAATGTCAGAGAAGGAGTTCAGAAGGTTCATAATTAAAATGATCTGTAAATTAAAGAATGACCTAAATGAGTGAATACAGGCAAAAATTGGTCACTCCAACAAAGAGAGAAGAGAGCAAATATAGTTAGCAAAAAATTACTTCAAAAAAAAGTTACAAATCCTTGAAATGAAGGATACAATAAATCAAATAAAAAAACTCAATAGAAAGCATTAACCAACAAGCTGGATCACTTGGAAGAAAGAACGTCAGATACGTTATCACAATGAAGAAAGTTAGAAACCATGAACAGAACATCCAAGAATTATGTGACAGCATCAAATGACCAAATCTAAGAGTCATTGGGATATAGGAAGGCACAGAGTTTCAGACCAAAGGAATGCACAATCTCTTCAATGAGATAATATCAGAAAATTTCCCAAGCATGAAAAACAAATTGGAAAACCAAATACAAGAGGCTTACAGGACACCAAATGTACAAAATTACAACAGATCTACACCACGGCACATTATAATGAAAATGCTCAGGATACAGAATAAGAATAGAATCTTAAAAGCCACAAGAGAGAGGAATCAGATCACATATAGGGGGAGACCAATTCATATCTCAGATTTTTCAACCCAGAACCTCAAAGCCAGGAGATCATGGAACAACATATACCAAGCTCCGAAAGAAAATGGATGCCAACCAAGAATCTTATATCCAGCAAAATTTAGCTTTAGATTTGATGATGAAATAAAAACCTTCCATGATAAACAAAAGTTAAAAGAATTTACAACTAGAAAGCCTGCACTATAGAACATCATCACCAAGCCTCCATTACAGAACATCCCCCTCCAAGAAGAGGAAATGAAAAACAATGATTAAAATCAGCAGAGGGGGGAATCACACTAAAGGAAAATCTAATCAGAGGAGAAACCAAGTCATGTTAAATACCAAAAATAAACAAAAATGTCTTGGAATACAAATGATGTCTCAATAATAACCCTGAATGTTAATGGTCTAAACTCACCAATCAAAAGAGAGAGAGATTAGCACATTGGATTAAAAAAAATCAACAATATACTGCCTCCAAGAAACTCATCTCATAGAGAAAGACATTCACAGACTGAAGGTGAAGGGTTGGGAAAAATCATACCAATCACATGGACTGTGGAAGCAAGCAGGGGTTTCCATCCTCATATCAAATAAAGTAGACTTCAAGCTAAAGTAAATCAAAAGGGATAAAGAAGGACACTACATACTGCTCAAGGGAACCATACACCAACAAGACTTAACAATTATAAATATATATTCCCCAAACAATGGAGCATCTAACTTCATCAAACAAACTCTTCTCAAGTTCAAGTGTCAAATAGACCACAACACAATAATTTTGGGTGACTTTAACATGCCTCTTTCACCACTGGATAGATCTTACAAACAAAAGCTGAACAAAGAAACTATAGAAATCAATAATACAATCAATAACTTAGTCTTAATTGACACATATAGAATATTTCATCCTTCAACAAGTGAATATACTTTCTTCTCAGCAGCACATGGATCCTTCTCTAAAATAGACCAAATACTATGCCACAAAGCAACTCTTAGCAAATATTTAAAAGTAGAGATACTACCCTGAATTCTATCAGATCATAATGGAATGAAATCAGAAGTCAATGATAAAATAAGAAATAAAAGCTTCTCCAACACCTGGAGACCAAATAATATGCTACTAATTAGGGATACACTTAGGAAAATGAACAATGGGCTGCAGAAGACATCAAGGAGGAGATTAAAAAATTTTAGAGGTGAATGAACAGAGATACAACATATCAAAATCTCTGGGACACTATGAAAGCAGTTCTCAAAGAGAAGTTCATTGCATGGAGTTCATTCCTTAAAAGAAGAAAAAGTCAACAAATAAATGACTTAACATTACATCTGTATCAAAAGCAGTAGAAGACAGGAAGTAATTAAAATAAGAGCCGAAATCAATGAAATTGAAACTAAAGTCATAATTGAAGAAATTGACAGAAGAAAAAGTTGGTTCTTTGAAAAAAATAAATAAAATTGACAAACCCTTAACCATGCAAACTAAGAGAAGGTGAGAGAAAACTTAAATTACTAACATA